CAGCCATGCCGTGCGTATGGTTCCCCGACCGGTTTCTTGAAAGTTTCGGCGGGGAAAATTATTATCCCAAGAACCAAGAGAGCTAGGAAGCTAAAACATGCGCTTTTGTTTGTTGTGGCAACGTCATGGCGTCACACAGCGAAAACCCATAAAAACGGCCAAATTCAGCTGAAAAGAGTGCAGAACACATACACATACTATGAGCTGTCATAAAATGTGTTTTTGCATTTGCATAAATATGCAAAAACGTATTAAAACAGAAACACCGGTTGTCAGTGCTGTCGCATGCGACTACATCGAGGAGCTTCAGAAAGCGCGCAGCGACGCCAGATTTCACAAAAATATTGGCGACCACGATATGCTGTGTGGATTAAAAGATGACTACCAACCATTGTTGGAGCAGCTGACACCCGGAAGCAGTTTAGTATATTTTGTATGCAGTGAGCAATGCTGACAACAGAGAGCTGGCTGGAAAGAGAGAGAGAAAGAATAAATAGCTACGCGCAACAGGATAACCGTTGCGATCATGCGTTTTGCACAGTAGGAATTTTCACTGTCTTACAGTTTAATTTGTGCAAAATTGATTGATATTTTGCTGTGTAATTTCTCCCTAAAAGTTTCGCATCCTACACGTGAAGCGTAAGCGCACATGAAAGATGAATTTGAAAAGTTAAGCGGTGAACACCCTTCCAATACATCAAACTCCTTGTTTTCTGACTTCCAAACAACTTCCGCAGCAAAAGCTTTATGTGTTCGTAAGTGAGAACTCGGCATATTTGGGAGTCAAGTTTGAGTTTCTGAAGCTCCTGCACAACAGGCCATCCTGAAATTTTCCCTAGCTCTTTTGGTTCCCAAAATAATAATTTTCCTGCTAAAACTTTCGCGAGGCCACATGTGATAGCAGACGGCCTGGAAGGCTGAACTTACGGGACTGTACATGAACAGGGGACACTACCCTGAAATTTCAAATTGCTGGTTCTCGTGATTCCCGAGACAACAATTTTTCTGCCAAAACTTTCGTGGGGCTGTGTGCGATATACATGTGCACGGAAAGGCTGGATTCAAATTTGCTTCGAGTTGTACGTGGGTGAAAGACGTCACCTTAAAATTTCAGCTCTCTAACTTTCTTGTTTTTCGATACAATAACTTTCACGCCTAAACCTTCACGGGGATAGCACGTAATAGCTAGACGCACAGGAGCGTTAAATTTAAATTTGCTTTACGTCGTACATGAGCAGAGGACATTGCCGCAAAATTTTAGTTTCCTAGCTTCCTTGGTTCCCGAGAAATTTTCCTAAAATTTTAGGCTCCTAGCCTTCTTGGTTCCGGAATTGAAAGTGCGGGACAAAATGCACTCAGACCTACGTACACATAGGCACACATACACACATACACACAAGATAGACAAGGGAGTAACAATATGCGTTTTGCGCTGCTGTTACATAGCATAAAACACATGAAATTCACTGCTTACAATCGAATAATAATGAAGATTGTGGCAAAACTACGTACATGCTTCTCCAGTGTAAAGTCTGAATTGCCTAGCATGTCCTTAATCCACTAGGTCTTTTTAATTGCTTAGTATCCATCGTCATTACTTTTGATCGATTGGTCCCTACGCTAACAATGGTACTATCTGTAGAACGTGAGGACGGCACAGTAACAGAGATCACATGCCGGATAAGTGGTATTTCTGAGGACAAACTCACTAACTAGATGTATTGCGCGATTTCGGTACTATGCATTTATACTTTCTGTGGCATCTTTAGGCACGCGAGAAAGAAGCAATGCTTTTATTGAGCTTGGACAACT